CTTAGAAGTATAGATCTGAGAGTGGTTATTAGAGAACCGCTCTCTAAATATATAATTACAAAGAGGTTTTTGTAACGCCCCTAATTTTGTAATATTAATTATGGTTATTTATATAAATCTAAATGTATATTCACGTGTGTATTTTTAGATAGATGTTGTGAATATGTAGATATATATATATATATATATATATATATATGTGTGTGTGTGTGTGTGTGTGTGTGTATGCATGATTGGTTGGGCTAAAATGGGCTAAGTGTCTAAGTATATGGCGTGTTATTGAGCTGTTCTTGCTGCAGCAAGAGGATTTTTGCTGTAGCGAGAGGGCCCTGGGAGGAAGGACCAGAACTGTCGCCTTCTTGCTGTAGCGAGAGACGTCTCGCTGTAGCGAGAGAGCGACAGTTTAAGGTGCATTTCTGGGTGCAGTCTCGCTGTAGCGAGAGGGCCTCGCTATAGTGAGATTCTGCAGAAACCAGAGTGCAGTTTTCTCTGGTTTTTTCGCTGTAGCGAGAGGGCATGTCGCTGCAGCGAGAATATCTTGTTGTAGCGAGAGTGTCGCAACTAGAAAAGGATTTAAAGGGAGTTAGGGTTCGAGGAGAGTTATTTCTCCCTCTTTCTTCGATTCTCTCATTCCCCAAAGCCCTATTCCACTGATTAATTGCCTCCAAAGCCGTTTGGGAGCTTGATTGAAGGTTAAGTTTATGTAGGGGACGCTTGGAGGTGAGTTTTAATGGTTAGGGTTTCGATTTTTCATCTCCTTTCTCTGTTTTCGTGGTTTCCTTGTGTTCTCATGGAGTTTCTCCATGTGTTTAGGACGAAATTTGTGAGGGGGAGCACTTATTGGTGGATTTAGTGCGTGGGTCTTCAATCCAAGGTAAGGGGGGGACTCTACCCTATCTCAATGCATTATAATTCTTTTGTGTTTTGTTGATAAGTGCAACATGGCTGAGATAGAGAGTAGGAATTGTGTGTTTAATGGAAATTAGTGTGTAATGTGATGTGTGCTGAAATAGTTAGACCCCGTGTGGGTGATTGTGTGTGATGGATTGCCTTTGATTGGTGAAATAATGTTGTTGTGAATAAATGAAGGCTATGTGCCGTATATTGTGAACAAATGTGGGCCCGAGGGCCATGTAATATAGATGAATATTGGCTGTGTGTCGTGTAATGTAAAATGAATGTGGGCCTAGTGCCGTGTATTTGAATGCAATGTGGGTTGTGTGCCGTTTGTAAGCATGATTATTGCATGCGTGAATGAAATATATGTGTGAATGTGCGTGTTAGCGCTGTTGTAACGTGCTGTGAATGGTTCAGCGATACACTGGGGTGTGTGAGATGAGGACGGTAGAAATACCTTGGGGAAGAAGGAGTAATGGTGACACCGACTGTGGAACGGGTGCACCACGGGCCACACACTCTCTTCCTGACTAGACCTCTGACCATTACCTTTGCTGAGCGATCCGTGATTGCCCACATGGTATCCGTGAGGCAGGGGTAACTAGCGACCATTCATGGTGTAAATCTGTGATCACAGTGCTATAGTGAGTGTGGCTGGTGTGTGTATGCGTGGATTTGTGTTTTGTACTTATGGATGTGAAATGCTACTTGTAATTGTGTTTGTTTAATGTATTGGAATGTTCTGAAGGTGAGACTCTACGCTTATTATGTGTTTTTGGGTAATGTAGGGCACTCACCCTTACATTCATTTTTTAGGTAATTGAGACGATCAGCACCAGACTCAGTGAAGGGACAAATGTACTGTTATAGGACTTAGATTTTATTTTGAAAATGTTGTAATTGAACTAGTCCTGTAGCAGTTATTTTGATATTAATTTGTAACCCTTCACTTACTTTGAAATCTTTTATAAAAACTTGATTATCTGATTTGTGAAATTATTATTTAATTAAAATTATAATTATAATTAAAATTAAAATTAAGTTGTTACAGTTTTTATTAACCGCTGTCTAAGTTAACGCTCCAAAAATTCATTTCTGGCGTAGTGTTGGTATAGACAAAAACACTTTTTTTTTCTCATTTTTCATATTATGCGCTAAAATAGTAAAAGAGCAAATAAAAGGATACAAAAATCACTTTTGGCAAAGTATAGGACCTGTATCTCATAAAACAATTTCAAAAAGAGGACATGTTATGACAAACAGTTATGTATGTGTTTGCATAAACCGTGAAGTTATAAGTTATTTAAAGAGACACATATCCATGCAAAAAACAAAAACTGAAAAATACATGTGTAAAAGATCATTTTTCAAAAGTTTCAATTGCTGCAAGTCTTCTATAAATTCACATATTTATTTCATATTTAATGAGTTAAAAGTTTGAAGAGAGGCGTGAGAAGAATACTTTGGAGTGAAATTGCCTAAAGAGACATTTATAAGAATACTTAAGACTTTTAGAGTTTGAAGGGATTTGTACAAAAATATTTGAATAATTAAATAGAGTCTAAAGTCAAGAATTGGATGTAGCCTTACTCTTTTTGGGTGAACCAAATTTAAAGTATTTTTCATTTCCTCCATATGTTAAACATTTTTTTTGCAAACCAAAAGAATTTGTTAAGTTTTAGTTTATCTTTTTAAAAAAACATTAAAATTATTTAAAGTATCTGAAATATATAAGAAATTAGAGGTTTATAATTAACAGTGAAGCAAAAGGTTGAACACATACGTACATATAACATTCTAGCTAAAACTCCAAGTATTGCAAGTTAAACTACAACTCAGGCAAATTACTAGAAACATCGAAAAAGAAGCGAATGAAATATTTCATGTAGGATAAGTAGTGAAGAGCATGCTCATAACATAGGGGAGGACAACCGTGACAGAATGAGAGAGAGGAAAGGCATTATTGTCGCTGAGCACCATGCAAGCACTCCACGGTTGTCATCTTGAAAATAATGGTTAACGGGTTCAATGAGTTTTACAAGATAGAGTGCATTAAGGCATTGAAAGATTAGAGAAAATCATAATCATGACACAATTTAAGATTAGGGAGAATCAGAATTGCGCCTAAAATAGAACAAAAAATTCAAAAATGTTTGATTTGTGACTCAACAAAGAGATTAGGGAGAAAAGAATGATTGAATCATAAACTCGACTGAGCTTTTTGAAATTAAAATTAGAGATGAGATGAGTTTGGTTATGAAATCAAAGAGAAATAAGAGAAGACACATTTCAAACCTTTGGATTTCAGACTTTTCTAATTCCTCTAATCGTGGCCGTTAGATTCACCATGCCACAAGGCCTATCGTATTCAGAGCATGTGATTTCAAGCTATTCTCCCGAGAGTAACAGGGTAATTATTTTAAATGATTTTTAAATATAATATATATCAAAATATGATATTTTTTAAAAAATAACGAAAAATGTGATTTAAAAATTACTAATGATAATTTTTTATGTATGTATAAAATTTTAAAATGAAAAAATGAAATATTATATAGTATAAAAAATTGTCAATAATAATTTTTCAAAAAATATTTTAAAAGTATAAAGAGTCAAAATTTGTTAATAGTAATTTTTATAAAAAAATAAAAAATACTAAATAAAAAAAATTATCAATGATGATTTTTAAAAATAATAATTTTTTTTTAAAATACCAAAACATGCTATGAATAATTTTTAAAATTTTTTCATATCTTTATAATTCTTCTCAAAACCCTATATGTTGATAAATTTTTTTTCATATAAAAAAAGCGCCTAATCAACAGGGTTATGAGACTCAGAGTATTTGTGTGTGTGCACGCCTGGTTTATGGCTTGAAAAACAGAAGGTCTAATATGTTTGAAAAACAGAAGTCAAAAGGTACTACAATACAAGAGAAGATTAAAAATTAATAACAAGTATTTAAAATATTTTGTAGCGGTTAAAAATTCTAAAAAAAGGAATTTAATTGTCAATAAATTTCAATTTTGTGACCTTTACAAAACCTACCAAAATATATTGTTTGGTGTTGGTTTCAAGTCATCACTTGTACAAAATCGCTAGTAAACGGTACTGTTTTGTTTGGTTATATAGATATATTTCTCTTGTAAACTTTCATATTTCTTGAAAATTTATAGTTCTTGATCATATATAAGAATAAGAAAAAATATTAATCTTTATTTTTATTTTTTGTGAATGATTAATATTGTCAAACGTGTTTCTCTTATAATTTATCTCATCCATTTCCTTTCTTCTGTCTCTGCACTCGATGAAAAATAAAGAGATCTACTTTAATAGATTGCGACATGAACCATTTCATTTCCTTTCAACATGTATAATTGTCACCATCAAACCATTACAACTTAAAAGAGTTTCATTCCCAGAAATTATATTTATATGCTACACACGAGATGTTACTTAAATCTTTCATTTAGACTAAAATGATAAAGTACTTTTCATTATTTAATAATATATCAATTATAATGTGTATAAATAGCTTTATGACTCAAATATTTTTTTATCCTCACCTTTTTTTTTAATTTTTAGTTCCTCTTTTTCTTTTTTTGTTTTTAGCACGCTCTATCATTTTTAATAAACAAATATTATAAAAACAGTGAGGACTAAAAATAAAGGCAGAAACTAAAAATAATGGAAAAAAAAGACTATAAATTTGAAGTCATTGTTTCATTTATTCATTATTTAATAAGTGATAGTTAAAAACAAAGTTAATTAAAGTTAAAGCAATTATACATCGCTAATTCAATATACCACAACGCTTGAATGGTAATATATGTCTAATAATAATATCATTTTGATTGATAAATCTTTTTTTATATTACTATTTATACACGTGAACATGAATTTTAAAACAAAATTATTTAAAAAATCATAATAAAGTAGGATGAATATTATTATGGATGAAATCCAAATACTTCCGTTTCCCTCCCCAACCAGAAGTATTTATATATTCCTTCAGCAATTCAACTTTAAGTAAGATTCCTAATTCAAACAAGGTTATCTAAAATCCTAACAAATGATAACAATGAAAACAAATAGCAAATAATAAAATAAGATCAATCCTAATACATTATATAGGATCATTCATCAGACATCGATTTGGGAGGTACAGGCATTTTAAATATAGAGTAAAGAGAAGCTTGTGACTGCGCAAGCATTCTCTCGCCCATGTCTCGGAGTATCTCTCCATAAAGCGACAACATGGCTCCGTTTTGAGCCATTTGCTTAGCCCTTTCCACCTCATCATTTGAAGTTGAAATAACCCTCTTTATCTTCAGAACATACTCTCCATCACCCACAATCTCAAGGCCTACATTCACCTCAATATCACCATCTAACAATTCTTCTTCCCCACCATTCTTATAAGCTGATTTTTCTACATCCTTATTATTTTTATCCTCACCTGTACAAAACGTTCAACACAAAGAAAGAGTTAATCGTTTTTATTCATACTTTCCATATTGTTACTTCTGTTAATTGCAAAAGACTTATTTATTATATCAAGAATGTAAAATTAAAATAAAAAATTAAAAAAATCGTAAAAAAAATCTAAACTTAAAAAAAAATGACATGTTGCGAGTTAACAAAAAGAAAATGTAGTACAGATTTACCGTCGTGCTTAATGGGTGTTTTGCTGCGAGATTGGTCAGTTGCGCTTGAGTCAACGCCTAATAGCGCGTTACTGAATAGATTGTCCAAATATTTTTTGATGGCTTCTTGTCCTTCTTTCTCTATGTGGCTTGGAATTGTGAGTCCCTGGGAACACTTTGGTTGGCAGTTACCAACTACGTTCAGCCCATCCACCGTTTCACTTTGGCAATCTAACTCGCAGTGCTCAATTTGGTCCAACAAATTGGCGCACGCCAAAGACGCGCACAAGAGAGAACAGAGAAAGAACGAGGAGAGAGAGAGAGGAGAGGGAGAGAGGGAAATTCGAGACCGTGAAATCGTTGGCTTCATCGTCTTGTCTGTGTTCCGTGAAAGGAGATGAAGAGCTGCAATTGGGGTGCTTGTGTTAGGATAATGAAGTTTTTGGCTATTTGCAGTTAATAAGACGAGAGGAGGCTTGAAGGAAAAGAACAAGTCTACGACAGCTTGAAAATAATTTTAAATTACCCTACCCAACCATGGGTCTAAAACTTTTTTATATGAAAAATTAAAGACCGGTATTTCTTAAAAATATACAAATATTATCACTATAAAATTCATTTTAAAAATCAATTGAGTTAAATAAAATTTATCTCTACAATTTAAGTTATAACTCTATAAGTTTAATTAAAACTAAAATTAAGTTTATGGTAAAATAATTTGCTTAAATATTTATTAATTATAGGATGTTAAGTATTTGATTTTGCTTACAAAAAATTCCTGCATAGTAAAAAAGCGGTAAATTTCAGCATAATTCTAAAATATCTTTCACTATTTTAATTTAAATGTAAAATTAATATTTTCTAGTCATAAATTAAAAAGTCAAATGTAACAAAAAAAATAAAATAACTCAGCAGTTTAATTGATGGGGAGTGAATCAAGTGCTGAAGGGATGGATATACGTATTTTACCTTAATTATTGTTGTTTTAACAAAGGTGAAAAGCTTATTATGAGAACCGTTAGTTAATACATGTTCAAAAACTTATTAGAGTGCTATTGAATGATAACATGATTTAATTCAGGGCACAATTTAAGCAAATAATGTTTAGTTACATAACATAATGTTAATATGTAAAGCAATTCTGTGTAATTTAAATCACTAATTCAAGAATAGAATAAGATAACGAAGTGAAATAGAAATTTTAACTTCATTCTTTTGTTTTCTTTTGATTTGATAGGACTAAGTCTACATTTTGTATTACTGTTTTCCTTTAAATTTAGTCAATGCGTATGCATTATAGGGATAACGACAATGGGTTAGATAAGAGAATCAGTTAACATTTTCATAAGATGGCAAAGGTTGTTGAGCAGTTTCAACTTAGTAATTTGAAAACTTATATAATATCGAAGGTTGGAAAAGGTAGGAAAATATTTCTGAACACTCAACATATAAAAAAATAATGTTAAAAGAGAAGATATGACTTGGTGTTAATTTAGTCCTGGAAGAAGTGAGTATTTAATATAAAATTAATGATACTTGAATGTGTCAAAGATGGAAGTAGGTACAATTAGAAACAATTATGATATTTTCACACACCATGGTGGTGAAATAGATTTTTTTATTATATGGTTATATTAAGAGTAAATTACTTTAATTTTTATTATGTTTTACATTTCTTACAAAACATTCCTTTACTTTTAAAATTTATATAAAATCTCTTATATTTTTAAAACTTACGCAAAATGTTTTCTATTTTAAAAAATTATTACACTCAAATTTTAATTTTATCTAACAAAAATTTAAAAAATAATTAAATATATAATTAATTTGAGTTTCCAAAGTGTCCGTCGTATAATTTTCATTGTTACATTATTTATCTAACAAAATGGTTCTAAAGAAGAGATTTTATGTAAATCCAAAAAAATATAAAAATCATAAAATTAAAGAGAGATTGAAATAATTTACCTCAATATTAATCATATTGATTAATTCAAAAATTAAAATTTTGTTTGTATTCAACCACTTTTCTCTAGAATGTTCTGGTATATGGTTTCATGCGACAATATCTGACTTTCATTCCATCAATTAATTGTAATTAAGAAGTAAAATTAATAAGTTATAAATATATAAATTAAAATAAAAATTATTTTTAAGAATTAAAATTAAAATTATTCTGAGAGACAAAAATATATTTAACTTAAATTTTATAATATAAAAATTTATTTAACTTAAAGAGTACATTGACTCAGTCAGCTTCAACAGGCAGGGTATTAATGGGTCAATTTCAGCCCAAGTTGGGGAGATTTGAATATATATAGGGTTTGTTGTTAATAATGTATGTATTAATGGCTCTGTGGCTTGCTCCAAGTTTTGTTTGTTTTAGCCCCACGTGATATATAGCGTGTGCAGTGCAAGCCTTATATTATCAGGCTTTAGCCTGTACTGTTCCTTTTTGCTATATGAAAGGATACTTCACGACAACAACAATAGCTTGTGTTACATATAATTTGCGATTGATCTATACTAATATTACATGACTAGATCAGAGGCTAATTTATAAGTAAATGATTAAAATTATATAAACATGATATAATATATGTGTAATTATATGTGAATATTATTCATTTTTAATTAAAAACAATTCATATATGCATACAAAAAATTATTTTAAAAAAATATAAACAATAATTCATAGAGAAAATATTTTGTCTTCCATCATTATTACGGTGTTTACTTTTATAAATCAGAACCTTAATTTTATTTTTTTAACAAATAATTTTTTTAATAAATATTTTTTGAGAGGCATTCATTTAATTAATTTTTTACTAACTGAATAATTAATTTTATAATTTTTTAAAAGAAATAACATAAACTTAGATAATAATCAATATGCACAAAGATAATAATTAATATGTGTAAAGCATAAACTTCAATAATGATAACTTATTGTTCTACATATTACAACAGGAGCACAACTATAAATATATAATATAATTAAATAATAAAATCATAACAATAGAACTATTTATTTTTTTTATCAATGGGTGGATAACTAAAGGGTTGTAATATGTGTAAAAGAAATTTCTTTTAACTTTTTCATTTATCTTTATTATTCTCACTCTCAACTTGTGTAGTCTCATATATTGCACTTTCATGTTCTATAAGTCTCGACTCTAGCAAATGAAAAAATGTAGGTGCTTAGGTGTTATCCTACTGTGTTATATTCTATGAAGTAATTGACATAAACCATTGATTACTTGGTGAAAAGCCCTAAGAACCGGTGACAAGTTGCATTGTGATCGATAGACATTCTCATTTTGTATGGGTACTTCTTCCATGGTTGCCTCCTTATTCAGGTCAAAGTTTCATTAGGCGTGACATTGAGAAGATTGAACTTCGCAAATGACATAGTTGTAGTTGCATAGTAATTCACAAGAAATCTCATTAGCAATGCTGCAATTAACAAACCTTTTACCATGTGTTTCTCTACTTTTTGAACCACAACGGATATCTTGTCTATCTATAAACATTCTTCCAGTTCCTGTTGTAATGGTTGTTCATCTTATTGAAATGGTTGTCACTAGTTTATTTGTGGTGACCAATAAAATTTTTCATTGGGTTGTACTAAAGATTATTGAACTTCCTGTTGAGAAAATTGTTCATGCTGAGATGCTAGTGGGTGCATTGGGCCTTTGTCTTGTTTAAGAGAGAGTATGTCCAAGGGAAATTATTGTTGTTAGGGAACTGGCTACTACATTTGTGGAAATAACCATAAGCAATTCATTGCAAACAATGTGTACCATACCTGATACTCATATGAAGGATAATAGTTCTGAATTAACATTCCTTGTAAGATACGTTCAAAACAATGATCTCATATTGTGACCTAGTCATCATGTATGACTCTCCAATTCTTTTTCTTTGGCTCTCATAATCCTTGTCAGTCTTTGTTATGAAACTCTTCAAGACTTTAGGGTGGGAGAGGAATAGGCTATGCATATTCAAATTGACGCATAACATGATGGGCTGCATGCTACTCTATAACCTAAAAATAAATCAACCACAACAATCATTCCCCTTTAACATCATCGGGAATAACAACATCATCGTTATATAGTTGCCAAAGACACTACAATAAATATAAATTATTAGATATATACATAATTACATGTTTTATATAAATAAATTTAACATTCTTAAGGATATATTAATTTTTACCTAATGAACATTCATTTGGTGATAAATCTAATATCCCTAAAAGGAGTGTTTAGCGGATATCGCAAATGTCTCCACTTGAGAACAAGTGAAAATATTATTAGTCCACCAAAAATTAGAGCCAACCATGGGAGTGATAGTCACACCCATACCTGTAGTAGTATCAAATACTTACAAATTTCTTTAGCATTATGTCATGAAATACGATATATTCCTAAAAAAAGATAAGCAAGACATGTTGATCCCTAACAATAATTGCCAATTTCTTTCACATTAGTTATCACAATCGAGAGTCACAACAGTATGACGAAAACATTTTCTAAAAAACTAGTGAAGTCGTCACCAAAGTTTATTTAAGAAAACTTTGGAATTTTTTTTTTTAAATAATACATCTTTGAAACCAAAAATAAGTTCAGGAGTTGTTTACGTGTAAAAAAGGTATTAGCACGCTACAATATTTGTTTAAATAATGGTTACCTTAAATTAATTAAATTAATTGTGCAAATTGATTTTAATTTTAAAAATTTTATTTAACCCCTAAATAGTAACTATTGCTATTTTATTTTTAAAGAAGGAAAATTTATTTGTTAAAATATTAATTGGTATGCTATGAAAGTAAAAATTATTTTGAAAATAGTTTTGATTTGACAAGTCGAGTCTCGCTCCTACATATCTCCAAGTGCAATGAAAAACTCAAAGTCACGTATTTCTATCATAAAATATCACGAAATTGGTTGATTAAATTAAATTCAGTAAAAGAAAGTTCAAATTGATGTATAAAACCTAAAATAACATTGGTATACATAAGTTTTATCAATTTATAATACACGATAATAAAGGAACTATATGTTAGTATTATAAATTGATGCAAATGTTATACTATTTATTTGTTTAAAATATAATTTACTAATCATGAAATAAAAGGTCAAAACATGAATATAAAATCAAATTACATCAATTCTTCTAAATTTAATACAATAAAGTAAAGAATAATAATACCAAAAAATAAATAACTCACAAATACATAAATATGCCGAATATAAACAATAACACGATAATTATTATGAGAATTTTTTTATTTTCATATTATTTTACCTATTAAATTATTTATTTATTTACTTATTTTTAAATTTAGTTGGTTAAACCTAATATTTACAAAATAATAATAATAATGTTGGAATAAATAAATAAAGTAAAAATA